AGCTTTACTCAGAATCAGAGCTGATGATCAAGGAGGAGGAGAAAAACTTCCAAACCATAATATCATGCTTTTACCTAAATTGGTTAGCAAAGAAAAAGAAATCAATTCTCTGAGGGTACAGTGGCATATGACACATTGATTGATGTTGTTGTATTGAACTGCTCCTAAGAGTTGTAATCAACAGCCTTAAGGACTCTGAATTACTTAATGTTGCAGAAGTTTGACGAAGTAGCTATTAACTAGCGTGCGTCACCCGAACTAATCGGGTCAAACTTACTAGAAGCCCCCATGTTATTTTCTCTATTGCCACTTGATTGTTCTTAAGGTTTCAAAGCAATTCATATGACTCCTTTGTTCGTAATTTTATGAACAGACAAAATTCAACAAAAAGCAGCCACCTTAACGGTGGCAGAGCCGCACTGCGTTGAGGGTGGGCAATTTTCCCCTCCTTAACTTTACAAAATTTAAAAAATAGCCTCAAAACTATTAAAAATTCTTATGTTTTTTTTTTATCATAATTACACCCCCTTAATTTTGGAAAATATCCTTTTCTCTTTACATTGCCTCACTGTATTATAAGAAATCCTCATTCTCCTCACATGATCTCCCTAAACAACCAATTTCTTTTAGACATTCTCTTTTACAGCACAAATCATTTAAAGCTATTAAAACACAAAATTAATTACTACTCGAATAAGAAATAACTTCAATACTTTTACAACACAAAAAAGCTCAAAATAATACATAAGTTTTAATCAAATTTTTCTTTGCACAATAATAACATCATGTTAGGTCTATAATACTGTCTCCACTAGCCATAGGTCCTTGTTTCGCCAATACTTCTTAACATCCTTAGTTGAAATGTTATTGTTATTGTTACTTTAGTTTTTTTTTTTAATATATATATTACTATTACTTTAGTACTAAACTTAGTGAAGAGCTAATCACTTTGTGTAGACATCAAAAATTTGATAATTTATTTATTTATTATTTTTTTAGTAAAATCATTTTTCTTTTGTTTTGTTTGGAAAATGAAAAAAAAAATATATGGAATTTTCAAAATCAGTTAAAATACTCAAGGTTCATTTGTTTTAACCCAACCAAATTCCCCCCAAATCCAAACAAAACCCAAGCCAAAAGTTAAACAAAGCCCAAACAAAAACTTCATAAAAACCCAAACAAAACCAACAAAACCTGGAAGAAAAAGAAAACAAAAAGAGGCCCATCAGCCCATTTCTTTGTTTTTTCACTTAAAAAAAAAAAAAAAATCTCACGCAGCAACGAGGAAGGCTAGATTTTTGCTTTTTTTTTGGCAACCAAAATTCCTTTTTGCTTCTTGTTTTCTTTCCCTGAAAGTTTAGCAAATACTTGGGACACCTAATCACCCACAATCCAAAATCAAATGGACCAAATATGGCCACAAAACCCTGGTTTCATCTCAACTATTATTCTTAGGGTTTTAATTGGTTTTATTTCATTTAAAAGGCTAAGGGAGATTATTTAGGGAGGGGGAGAGGAAAAAGGAAAAAATTTACCCGCCATAGGATCTAGGAGAGAGGAAAAAGCAAGAAAAAAAAAAAGAAAAATTTTCGCCTGCAAAAATTCTGGAAAAAGCTGGTGAACCAGCCATGTTTGGAGGGGCTTTTCTCCTTCGTTATAGATCGGATTTGAGTGATTTTTCTTTCTGAATTTTGGTGAAACAGATTGAAATAACTTTCGTGTTGAAATATTTCGCTGAAAACCATCCTAAACCCTTCAAATCTCGGCCCAAACTTCGCTCATCAAAACATTTTTCTGCAAAAATTGAGCCAGGGCTGACCGAACATTCCTATTTGTCTGCGCTTTCCGAATTCATCGGACCTCCGTTTGGCCAAATCCTTGTTATTTCACCATCTAAGATTGTATTAGAGAAACTTTTATTTTGAACATTCCCTGAAAAAACATCTGAAAACCCCTCTAATTTGAGCTTGAAATTGCATCTTCATCAGCACTTGGACCACTGCAGCAACAACTTGCTTGGTTCCTTTTCCGAATTTGGGAGCTCTTTTTTTTGAGTTTCTCCACGTTGGTTCGAGTCCTCAAACATATTTAGGTAATTATAATCCTTTCTCTCAGTGGATTTAACATTTTTTATGAGATTTTAAGCCATTACATGAGTTTTTATGAGTTTTGCGCCTTAGATCTCATTTTTCTCATGATTTATAGTGTTTGATGGTGCTGTTTGATATTCAAATAAATTCATGAGATCATGGGAAGCATGTATATGAAAATATCCGGTCTCAAAAGTTAGAAAAAGGACTTCCGGCGATATACCGGGAACTCTGGCCGGAATATTTCCAGTTCCCGGCGTTGACGCACCAAAAATATTCATACTCGCCGGAAAATTCTTGATATTTTCTCTTCTATTTTTTCTCCAATTATTTTTTTTTGTCCTATTATGTTTGATCCATTAAGATGTAAAATTGGGTATGTTTTTGGGTTTGGAAACCGGGCCAAGACTCCATATGGGTTATGAAGCTTAGGCCCAACATTTCTTTTGTTAGATTTGGTTTTCAAAAATGATGGGCGGGTCCTTTTCTGACTTGGGCCGAAGAGATTTTCAGCCTAAAATAAAACAAAGATGGCCCAATAATGTTTTCTTAAGAAATCAGAAGAGAAATTTTACAATCAGGCCCCTTTTCTTTTAAGTAATTTTATTTTATCCCTATAATTTCGAATTCCTTTCAATTAGGTCCTTACTTTAATTTCATTTTGGTCGCTAAACTTTATCTTTTATTCAATTTTGCCTTTATTTTTCAAAAATTATAATTTGACCCTAAAAGCTTTTCAAATTTTGCAATTAGGTCTCTAATGGTTTTGATTTCTCAAGTATGATTGTTTATCTTCTTTTATTGTTAAGCATACTTCATTTAAATGTATTTAATGAGTAAATTTTAGGGATTTTATGTTCATTCATATTTCTTTGAAATAAATAAAGTGAATTTGCTATATTATTTACATTTTCTTTTAAATTGTTAATTAAATTAGTGTATTGACTATTTTATTGGTTTTGGAATATAAATAGGACAAATTCTACCTCATTTAAGCACTACTTCAAGAGAGGTCCTTCTATTATTATTTTAAGTTTTTTTATGTGCTTCTATGTTTTTTTTTAATGTATGATTGCATGTTTTGAATGTTTTTTCTTTCATTTACTCATTTTATCCATATAAGTTTCATTCGTTTTTTTTTTTTTGATGATTATTTGGGAGGTGTTTAAATGCCAAATTGTAATAAATAGGTGTCCAAGAAATGTATTTAGTTAGACCATGTAATAGATAGATATTATTTTTGTCAAAAATATAATTAATTAGATAAATATAATAGATAGGTTTATTATTTCTAAAAATTTCCCTTCTAAATTGTAGTTAGAGTTCCCAATGTAATAGTTAGTTGTTATTTACTTGCATGTTTGTCTGCTTATGTGCTTATGTGTTTATTCGCTTTCTCTAAAGTTTTACATCTAGATATTATGTCTATGTACTATGTACTCTACATGTTCTATATATTTTATATGTTTATTTGCTTTAATTATATTTTATATGTTTTGTTTATTTTATAATAAATGCATAACGTTATCACACTAGTCCAATGCTAATTGTGGTTTTTCTTCCCGATTTCTTACTTGTCCAACACTAGTGAGAACTTGTAGAAATGTGTTAGTTCAATACTAGACCCTTTACGCCGTTTTCGCGCTAAATTCATACCTTGTGTGACATTTATTGCATCTCATGTATTTTTTTCTATTTCAATTTGCATGACGTTTCTCCCATTATTATTCCCTTACCCTCTGTATGTTTGGACCATATTATTTAGAATTGTATTTTATTTTAAGAAATTAGAAGTAAGCTAATCCATTTGGTTAACTAAATTAGGAGAGTCGTCCTTTGAATATGGAAACTGAGCGAGTATGCCTTTTACCCTTATCACGCTATTACTCCTTTATAAAGAGGAAAATTGAGTCATAAATTTCAATTTTCCATACTCGTCATGATGCATTTCCTTTTTATAGATCATGTATATTTATCTAAATATTATAATTTCCTTTTTTGAGTTTTATCTTTTGCATATTTTGTGATCTCTTCGAAAAATCATTCTTAGGCATCACAATTAATGTGATTGGTACTAATTAAATTTTGAAGAAACATTTTGGCCCTTCCAATATCCCTTAAGTTTAGACTTGCATCCATATAGAAACATCCAAAATGTGATAAATTTTATAGGTTAGACTAGGAAAATTTTCGACTAAATTTTGCAATTGACTTTGGTTAGGTTGAAAGGTGCCTTAGATCAAATCTTTGCTTTTTCTTTCTTCAAACATGACTCCCTAATTTTTTTCTTTTGTTTTCAAATACCTGAAGTCATCTAAAAGGGTTTTTATTATTTTCTCATTTAAAATATATTTTGGGTGATTTGGTACACCTAAACTTAATATGAAGTGGCAACTTCTATTTTTTCTTAAAAAACCCCCTTTAGACTATTGCGTGAGTCCAAACCGTCGCATTTTCTAAATTCTATTTAAGACCCTTTTTCTTTATTTATTTCTAAAGTAAAAAAATTTAAAACACCTTTTTTCTATTTTTCAAAAATGGGACGCGAAAACTTTGCATAAAATCATAAAAAAAATTATGAAAATATATGCGAAACAACCGAATAGTCAAGTGGGTATTATAATATTAGCACACGCAATTTTAGAAAACATTTGGATCAATCGCCATAATTGCACTTGCTTTTCGTCTATTTTTCACTTTCCACAAAATTACAAGAGGTTATTTGAATAGCTTTGAACGTTAAAAGGGTCATGTGATAATATAAAAACACCACCGCTAGCAAATAATAATTTATCCTATATTTTGTATTATCTGTTGACTGGAAGTCTGAACCCATTTTCTGCCATTGGAGTCTTTGGAGATCGATAAAACGACTGGACTGTTGAACAACAAAATTAAGACTGCGTTTCGACTTGTTACCTTTTAGCAGTCCAACTTTGATAATGCTAAAGGAAACATCCGTTATTTCTGAAAATTAAAGGCCACGTCGTATTGGTCAACTGGCAATATTGCTCGTAAATTGTCCGCTTGTTTCCCCTTCTCTTCTTTGCTGTTCTTTCTTCTGTGGTTCTCTTCCGAGTTCCATCATCAGAAAATATCTAAACATACAGACACATACGGATAATATGCATATCTGTACATATATAGATACTTATATTTGTGCTCTAACATTTCTGCAGATTTGCTAGAAGTTGAAGTATTGGTCGACTTAAAGCTTTTTCATGTTTTTGCTTTGAATGGAACGAGTGCAGTTGCTTAGGAACTTGAGGTAACATTATCTGGGAAGGAATTGAGTCAAATCATGGTTATTGACATAACAACAGAATTAGACTGGAAGATGATATCCGATTAAGCCACCTTGCCCTGTCCGTAAGGGAATGAAAAAGTCAAGTTCGTTGTCTATCAGGTTGAAGTCGGGCGAAAGAAGAAGAGAAGAAGAAGAAAGGGGTCCTAAATAGCTCCTTTGCCCTAGAGAGACAGCACAGGGAACAGAGAGCACAGTTAATGGAGAAGTACAGGGATATCTTTAGCTTATCATTTCCTGTGCTTTTTAACATCCTCTTCATTTTACCGGCATGTTGTGCATCAAATGACACCATAACTCCATCCCAACCACTCAAGGTTGGACAAACTCTAATCTCTGCTGGGCAAATCTTTGAACTAGGATTCTTCAGTCCAGATAATTCAAGTGGATTGTATGTTGGAATCTGGTACAAGATTGGTCCTGATCGTAGAATTGTTTGGGTTGCAAACAGAGGAAACGCACTCTTAGCTAGTGACTTGGCTTCAAGGCTGATAATCAGCAGTGATGGGAATCTAAAGGTTGAAGATGGAAAGCAAAACAGTGTCTGGTCAACAAATGTTTCTGTCCCATCAAATGGCTCTATAGCGGTGCTTCAAGATGATGGGGACTTCATCCTTAAAGATAACCTTTTAGGGGCGACTCTATGGGAAAGCTTTTCTGATCCCTCTGATACACTTATAGCAACCATGCCACTTGGATGTTGCAGCAGGAGTGGACAGAAATTGTTCTTGACAGCTTGGCAAAGTGAGAACGATCCAGCACCTGGAAAGTTTGTTGTTGGACTTTCAGATGACAAACCAGCACAGCTTTTCACATGGAATGGTACAAAACCATACTGGAGATCAGGTCCATGGGATGGATGGAAGTTCATTGGTGCAGTAGTTAAGGATTATGGGTATGGAAATGAAGTAAGTCTGACTCAAAACAATCAGAGGGGAACACCATCTCTGACTTTCAACCTTTTCAACAAGCCATACATTTCAAATTTGGTTATTTCACCAATAGGTGTGATGGAGGTACTGCATAAGGAAGGACAAAATGAACCATGGAAGGTGCAATGGGCATCAATTCAAACTCCATGCGATGTATATGGAGCTTGTGGACCCTTCAGTGCTTGTAGCAGCAGTGGATCTCCAACTTGTGAGTGCCTAAAAGGGTTCTTTCCGTTGTCAAATGAGGAATGGAGTAAGGGAAATTGGACAAGTGGATGTTTGCGGCGTACAGAGTTGATGTGCAGTACGAACAGTAGCAACTTAACATCTAAAGCATCTAAACCGGATGGCTTCTGGAGGCTCATTCAGATGAAATTACCAGATCATCATCTGTTTCTTTACAATGAAGATGCCCAAGGGTGTAGCCAATGGTGCCTGAGTAACTGCTCTTGTTTGGCATATGCATATCCAGATGGAATCGGGTGTGTCGTTTGGGTAACAGATCTTGTGGACATTCGGCAATTGTCGTACGGTGGAGAGGATCTATATCTTCGGGTCGCTAATTCAGAGCTAGGTAACTGAGGTCTAGTCTGGACTTTTACTGCATAATACGGCTTTCCCATTCTTCACAATTTGTTTTATGTAATTTTCAGGAGTAAAAAGAAGATATACCAAGGTCATCATCAGCTGCGTAGCTATAGCAATCGGCTTCCTCTTGGTCGTGTCAATATGTTGTGTTCAAAGATGGAATGCAAAGAGAAGAGGTAAACATGTTTATCAATTAATCTCAGCATGTTCCGAGCTATTCTGGCAACATACTGCCAGCAATGCACTGCAAACTAATATATTTGATCATTGACCTGCAAATCAGTATCAAAGACAGACTTAACCTCCCCTTCCCCAGCCAGAAATCTAACCATTCCCTTCCGAATCTCAAGCAAACTGATGTCAACAACTCAGGAAAAGTTAATCATTGCTGCTCTTTTATGCAATTATCATTAAAATTTCAGCAGTTATGCATACAGACACACATCTCAATGAACAAAATTCAGAGACAAGAAATTGGTGCACGATAAAGGGCTTCAGAAAAAACTGCAGAGTGGTCGGTCTCCTTCTGTCCGGGAATAGGGGTACTTTGAGAGAGACTACACGAGAGGGTATCAAGGAAGGACCTGCCTCAGCCAGGGGGTCCTCGTTGGAGCTTTCGATGATCGATATTAATGTGATAAAAATAGCTACCAACAACTTCAGTGAAGCTAAGAAGTTAGGTGAAGGAGGATTTGGCGCAGTTTACAAGGTAATTATCATTCCAAGCATCTGACCAAGTGTCTGGACATTTAAAATTAGCCTAAGGCATGAATAAAACTGATCAGTAATTTGTGAAGCTGAATTCCATGTAGGGGAAATTAGAAGATGGACAGCAAATAGCTGTGAAAAGGCTTTCAAGTCACGCAGGGCAAGGCATGGAGGAGTTCAAGAATGAGGTCATACTGGTATCTAAACTTCAGCACAGGAACCTTGTAAGGCTGCTCGGTTGCTGCATTCAAGGAGAAGAAAAGATAGTAATTCTTGAATACCTGAAAAATAGAAGCTTGGACACATTCCTCTTCGGTACATATTCTTCTATTGCCTCACTGAAATATTTTCAACTTAAAGTTTCTCTTGGCATTTCTAACTTTAGGCTAGCAACTACAATGGTCAGTCGAGTCTCGATCGTTTAAAATTGCTGTGATTGTATGAACATTAAACAAGTGTAGACGATCACAAAACAAAAAAAGTGAAGTAACCTCAAGCACTTCCTGAATCCCAGGGTGGAGCCACCTTATAGTGGTGCACCATCTCGACTTTCAAGGGTCAGAATTATAGAGCTAGCAGAGTTCTTATGTCGTCAGTTTCTTCGTATATGCACTCCCTCCCTAGATTTTCCCAAAACTTATAATGGGATTTTACATTATTGGTCATGATTCCTCAATTCCCCATCCCCTGCCTTGAGGTTCTGACTCAACCGATATCAAGGCCCCATCCAAGCTTGATTTCTACTCGTGTATTCTACTACTATTGTTGTTATCACTGGGGAGTATAATTCTACTTTTCATTGATGATTGAACATCACTGGGGGGTTAAGGACATGTGGACTGCCCTTTTTTTTTTTTTTTTTTTTTCTCTGATGCGTTAAGATGTCTGCGTGGATAATGGGCAGATCGAACGAGAAGGTTGGAGCTAGACTGGGGGAAACGGTTCCACATAATTCAGGGCATTGCCAGAGGGCTTCTATACCTCCATAGAGATTCTTGTTTGAGAATCATTCACAGAGATTTGAAGGCCAGCAACATTCTCTTGGACGATGACATGAACCCCAAAATCTCAGACTTTGGGCTGGCACGACCTTTCCGAGTTACACAAGAACAAGCTAATACCCGCAGAGTGGTGGGAACAATGTAAGTCGTTTTCTACCCGGGCCCCAGTAAAATCATCCTCGTAGATGCAATTGCCCCTGCTCTTTTGGTGCTTTTTGTCTGTGGCGGGCAGGTGGCTGCAATTGCCCTTTTCTTTTTGGGGTTTTTTTTAAAAAAAATCCTTGGTTAACAAATTGAATAAGTTGATCGTGCAAATGTAAATTTAATAAATTAGTTAATTACACTTGACTGCCTGAATTTGGGTTTCGGTGACACTTCGCCCTCCCTAAACTTCACATACTTGCTTTTTGGGTCACTAACGCAATTAGAACCATTTGTCACAACAACATGATGTTACTTTTCTATGACTATAATACCCCTAGGGAAAAAAAAGTTTCTTGCTTTTTTTTTTTTGGCAATAAAGCCTATTTCAAATGTGGGGGGAAGGGAGAGTGTAAGTGAGAGATTTCGGATTCAAGTCCTTTCACTCACATTATAATAAAAAAAAATCTATTTCAAATAGACATAAACTCCTCTAAAATCAAACATACTTCATTCTGAATGTTTCAATATTGTTTCAATATAATTCTTTAGAAATTATAAAGGAAAAAAGATCTCATGTAGTTTCGTATAAGTTTTTCTTAATTTTTTTTTTATCATAGTTTGCTTTTTGTGAGATAAAACCAGCTTTTCTATTCAATTCTTTCCCAATTGTACTATACATTGTCTCATTCATTGTAATTGATTTATAGTATAAAAATAGTACAAAAAATAGAAAAATTTGGAATCGCTTTATCAAGATTCATATTATAATTTGTATTAAAATATGAAGATAGTAAATTTAAAGCAAAAGTTATAACCTGGCAAATGGTGAATTTTTAAAAGCAATGTTCAGTGCAAATGCACCAAAATTGCACTGCTTATATCTCAAATGTATTTTTGTCAATCGACTCTATCTATACTGGTTCTATACTTTTGTATCTTATTCTTTTTCTAATGGTCAACTTAGTTTATAGTATCTCACAGGTATGTGCTAATACTTGTTTCCTGTAATACAATTGCAACTTGGTTTTTTTAACGCTGTCATCCACCATTTAAATAATTTTAATTCCTATACTTATTTTGTGTGTCTTGACTATATCCATGACTTTGGTATTTTGAGATACTAATATGTATTTATATTAAAAACTCACGCTCTTCACAACGGAGTATATTTCTTAGGGTGATATTTTTCTTCCAGCTTTTCATATGGAAGTGGGTAGAATTTCAACTTTATTTTAAAGAAATTTTAACCAATATCCCTCCTTTATATCTCGTCAAATTTTAGAAGGAGATGTCATGTCTAACAGCTGACCGGTTTTTGGGGGGGCAAAGTGTTGCTTTATCCCAAGTTTGGGGGGTAAACTGTAATTAACCTTTGTTATTCGCATGGCATGACAAGATCTTCCCGTAGCACACAAAGCATGTCTGCCTGATTCTTGGTTATAATGGTAAAACTCATTTCCATTGCATGGAGATATATATATATGCATAAATATAGGTGTAAACCATTGAAACTTTCATGTTTCAAATGTAATGCAGGGGCTATATGTCTCCCGAATATGCCTTGGGAGGCCTCTTTTCAGAAAAATCTGACGTTTATAGCTTTGGAGTTTTGTTACTAGAGATTGTCAGCAGCAAGAAGAATACGGGGCTTGGTTTTCACGAAAAATACCTGAACCTTCTTGGTTATGTAAGTGCATGATGCATATTTTATTTCCCATATTTGCTTTCAGGTAGATCAGATAAAAATTGTCTTGTCTAGGATCATGATAACAAGACGAATACAGCGGAAAGGCAAACTATTATCTGGATACTTGAATTGGATTCTAAATAGCTACTTGGAAACAATTCATTCTTCAGGCGTGGCAATTGTGGAATGAATGTAAAGCTGCAGAATTGCTGGATCAATCACTTGCTGATTCTTGCGCCCCATCAGAAGTAATGAGATGCATTCAAATTGGACTTCTTTGTGCTCAAGACCATGCTAAAGATCGGCCTACAATGTCGAATGTGGTTCTCATGCTAAGCAGTTCAGAGAGCGAAATGGGACTTCCTCAACCAAGACAACCAAAGTTTACGTTTCAGAGCTTGCTAGAATATAATCATTTTCAAGCAGGAGTTTCAGCATTCAATGGCTCCATAAATGATGTTACTATTTCAGTGGTTGAAGGTCGATGAGTTGTCAACACAAGATAAAACGCGGATAGGACAAGTGAATTTAGCTCGTACTAAAACCATTGTATAAATAAACGTAATTAAGGTTCAGATTTCGGATTAACTCTTATGTAGTGAATCGCTACCATATTTTAACATCATACAATCCACTCAAGATTGGTGGTCTATAGCAGAGTATCGCTTTTTTTTTTTCTTCTTTTTTTTCCTTTTTCTTTCCAAACTAGTGTTATTGTCCGGATAGAATCATAGAGAGTGCTTATGCATCAAGTCCATATTTTGGAATGAGAACTATTGATTATATGGCTGAGAGGGAGAAAAATATTGGACCATAAGAATGAGAATTCTTGATTAAATGGCTGCTATTAATAGCATTAGACTTTCTGTTTGAAAAGGCTATAACCATTTTTCTGCTAGGTTTAGCTTCATAAAAGTAATGCTTGGACAAATTCCTATTCAGTAAATATCCTTCTGTTACTTCACTGAAATATTATTCACGTAAAAGTTTCAATCGAATTTTTCACTCTAAGCTAGTGAGTACAGTTAAGTTCCTGTGTGTTCTTCTGCTATGAGAACCAGGACTGAGCTAGATGGAATTCAATTTGCGTTACCAGTCAAAGTGTAAAACAGTCAGTTCAGTGAGTAAAACATCATAACAACGCAGACATTATGGTTTTGAAAATCACAAACACAATGCACTAGAGCATGAAATTAAACAAGTATAGGTGTACACAACAACAAAACAAAATGTGGTCTATATCATATTTTGTAATTATCGTTCATCAACCAGTTATGCAGAACAAAATGAATGAACAAATTATCTTATACAACAACAGCTTGATTGAAAAATCGAATCCATCCTTATCTTGCGCGGCCCTCGATTCAGCTATGCACCGTCTGTGTTATATTTTGTTTACCTCAAGTGCTTCCTGAATAATGACGGTGGGCAAATGATCCAAACATCAGTATATTAGGCTAGCAAAGGTATTAGTAGTTCATTAGTTTTCTTCAATGTTTGCACCCCTGAATCTTCTAAAACTCGCTTCACCCTTTGCGTTGCCCCTCCAATTTTCTCGAATTTCCTTGTCCATTGGCCTCTAAAAAGGTTAAAACTTTTGTCTCTTCATCATATAGACCTGAGAGCATCTCAGAGAATTTGAAGTAAAAAATTTAATCAGATGACAGTTGTCTTCTTCACGTTTTTAATGTGCACTTAAGAAAGTGACTCCCCCGCCCCTCGAGGTTCTTTTTTTTTTTTTTCCTGCAACGATAGATGTCCTATAACCTAATCTAGTCTAATCTAGAGAAAGGGATAAAGGGAGATGGTCAACTAAGACCAACCACATACTGTGGCAAATTTGTGAGAGGCAGGGGTTGAACCCTGACCTCCAGCATCACCAAATGGCCAGTGGCCCCCTCGAGGTTCTTACTCTACCAAAATATAGCGTGGTCTCAGAGAGTGAAATCGAACATCCTCAACCAAGACATTTACGTTTCAAAGCTTGCTTCAATATGATCCGTCGAGCTTCATTTTTTGAAAAATAAAATTACGGGTTATAAAAATGAATTTTTGATTTATTTTTGAGTGAAAATGAGTTTTTGATTTTTAGAGAATAAATAAAGAAAAATGGCCAAAAATGGGACTTAAAAAGTATTACAGTTTTGGCCCAAAATAATAGTTTAGAAAGGATTTTTAAGAAAAATAGGAGTCGCCCCTTGGTATTGAATAGGTGTACAAAGTCATCTAAAAATAAATTTTTAAATAAAAAATAGAGAAAACCCTTTTTAGACGACTCCAAATCTTCAAAAAATGAGAGAAAATGGCTCGGGAGTCATGATTGAAGAAAGGGAAGGCAAGGATAAAATCCAAGGCACCCTTTCAACCTAGTCAAGGCTAGTTGCGTGATTTAGTCGAAAATTTTCTTAATTTAACCTATAAAACTTATTACATTTGGATGCAAACCTAGATTTAATGGATATCTGAAGGGTCGAAATATCTTTTCAAAGTTTAATCAGTGTAAATCACATTAATTGTGATGCCCAAAATGATTCTTAGAAGGGGTCACGAATATGCAAAGAGTGAGACTCGAAGAAAAGAAAAAAATATAATATATAAATATCCGTGACCTAAAAAAGAGGAATGCAACATAACGGGTACGAGGGACTAAGATTTGTGATTCAATTTTCCTTCTTATAGAGGAAATACGAGCGTGTTAAGACTAAGAAGCCATACTCGTCCATTTCTCATATTTGAAGGACAACTCCCCTAATCTATTCAAGCAGGTGAACTAACCTATTTCTAATTTTTCTTAAATGGAATGTAAGTCTAAATATCACGTGTCGCATATAAGGATAAGGGATATACATATAGAGGAAATATCATGCAAAATGGTAAAGATCCTAAAAAGTAGAAAATATGTATGAAATGTAGTGATTGTCACGCAAGCATGTGATTCTAGCGCGTGGACGGCCTAAAGGGTCTAGCATTAGACTAGCCCATTTCATCAAGTCTTCACTAGCGTTGGATTAGTGAGAAATCGGGGAGAATGGCCACAACTAGCGTTGGACTAGTGTGGTGACGTCATGCATTTTTTATAACGTAAGAAATCATATAAACGTAATTAAAGCAAGTAAGCACGTAAGCACATAGAGTACATAGCATGTAAGCATAATATCTAAATGCAAATCTCCTAAGAAAGCGAGTAAAACACGTAAACACATAGACATACAAGCACACAAGCAATAAACACACATAAGGGTCTAACTATTACATTTGGAATCCTAATTACAATCTAAACAGGAAAATTTAAAATAATAACCTAACTATTACATTTATCTAACTAAATATATTTTAGGCAAAATTTGAACCTATCTATTACATATTCTAACTAAATACACGTCTTGAACCTAACTATTACAATTTGGCATTTAAATGTTTCTCAAATAATCACCAAAATTAAATTAAATATATGAAGCTTAAAACAAATAAAACGAATAACTAAAAGAAAAATCACTCAAAATCATGCAATTACACACATAAAAACACATAAGAGCACATAAGAGGATTTAAAATAACAAAAGAAGATACCTCCCTTGAAATAGTAGTTAATGGGGGTTGGATTTACCCTATTTAACTTCAAAATTAACAAAAATGATCAAGGTACCAATTTAATTAGCAAATAAATCATAAAAAATGGAAATAAACATGAAATCTATCAATTGAAGCATTCAAATGAAATATAATTAATAATTAAAGAAGAAAAGCAACTTCTATTTAAGAAATCAAATCTATTAGGGACCTAATCATAAAAATTAAGAAAATTTTGAGGAATAAATTGTAATTATTACAAAAATTAGAGGTCAAAATTAAATAAAAATAAAATTAAGGGACCAAAATAGAATTAAAATAGGGACCTAATTGAAAGAAGTTAAAATTTTTTAGGAACATAGCATAATTACTAAAAAGTATAGGGACTAAGTGTCAATTTTTATCACCAGATCACTTAAGGAATTGGGCCTTTAGGTCATTGTCTGACTTCTCTTTAGGCCAAGACCACTTGGCCCGACCGGAAGTCTAAGAAAAATGAAGCGGATCAGCCCACTCTTTTACCAATTAAACCCAACCAAAAATGGCATGGGCTTTGGCCCTCAAGCCCATGCTACAAGCCTATCAAAATCCACAGCATTAATCTGCCCAAAAGCCCTAAGAAAACATTAACCCAAGTCTTAATCTATTTTTACTAAACCCAACAAGGTATTAAATATACCAAAAATTAATTAAGCCCTAATTATCTCCTAAAATCCAGATTTAACTTGACCAAAAACATGTTTGAAAAATGCAAAAGATGATTAAAATTTAAAAGGGATCCAAATGGTTCATTTGCAGAAGTTTTTGGGCCATAATGTAAGATTATTTTAAAAATTGGGACAAAATACAATTTTAGAAAGTCACATGCAACTGGTTCGAAGAAAGCTTCTTCTGCAACAATTGGGATCCTCTGTGCCACTACTCGGTGTCAAATTCAGTGACAATCTCATTTATCACGTGATGGTAAAAGAAATTTAAATAAATAGCACATGACAAATTAAATAAATAGGACACTTGACATAAATATAGAAGTGGTACTGAATTGCCATTTTTCGTCAGTGAAAAAGTGGCATTGAGGATCCCCTGTGCTTATGCAACTATCCTCTGCAACTTTGAAGGGCCGCAACAACACAAATGAAACCTCCATAATCATTTACCAAATTTTTGCATAAAAGAAACAAACCGCAAGTTTAGATTGAAATCCCATCCAAAATCACGCACCTCCCCAACCATTAATACAAGATTTCTACTACCAAATGCAAGTTCCAGATCCCAGCACAAAATCACAAACTCATGCACCATGAACAAAAAAGGGACCAGATTTCTTGAACTTTTACGTGCAAACAGGTTGGAAAAGAGAGGAAAGTGAGGGAGGGTTACCTCTTAAGGTATTATGGAGCCAAAACAACTTGAAAAATCGCGTCGAAATGAAAGGCCTGAAGCTGCAAATCTTTGCTGACGAAGATCCAAGAGCTGACGACTGGCTGATTTCGAGCCAAAATTTGAGAATTCTGGAGACGGTTTTTGTTGAAGTTTTGTGAACAAAAATTGCCCTTCTACAAAATTAGATGGTGCGGCAACAAAGAAAACTCCATAAATAACTAAATTGATGTCGGGTTTTGAGCTGAAATTGGGTCAGAAAGTCAACCCTGGCTCAAGATTTTCTGGAAAAATTTCTGCTCTCTTTTCTTCCTTTTTCTCTCTCTTTTCTCTCTCTATCTACTCTTCCACCACATCCCCTTGTTCCTCTCCCTTTAGGGCTGTGTTTAGGACCTTTTATAGCTACAAAATCCCCCAAAACCTAGAACTAAGGGAGGAGATTGGAGCTGCATTTTTCTTGATGATTTTTGAGCCACTAGATGGCCTTTGTCCTGGGATTTTCCTGATGTTTGGATTAGATCCAGGTGGATTGGTACTGGAGTGATCCAATGGAGCGAAAAAATGAAGAAAAAAGAATGGAAAAAGGCCAAGAAATTTTGCTGCAAGACCTTGTACTGTTTCTGCTTCATCTTCTTCGAACGAAGAAGAAGGAATGGCGCTCGTGGCTTCCCAATTTTTTTTTTTTTTTTTGCTTGCAAAAACTGATTTGATTTCTTTTCACTTCTTTTCTTTTTTTCTTTTTTTTTTTCGATGAAACAAAAAATAAATTAAAAAAATAAAAAAGATAAAATTTTGGTGTCTACATGATCATTTCCAATCTGGGGTTTGTATATGCAATGGTTCCATAAATGAAGTTAGTATTCCAATGATTGAAGGTCGATGAATGGTCTACTCATGACAAAACAGAATTGGAACAAGCTAATATTGCTCGTTTCAGATACATACTAATGTAATTAAGGTGCAGAGTTCAGGATTGATCCTTATCTTGTTAATCTGTAATAGGTTTAGCACAATTTGTTTCATTGGTGATTGGTGCTGTTTAGCAAAGTGTAGTTTTTTTCCTACTAGTCTTGTACTTTGGATAGAATCATAGAGAATGTTCATGCAATAAGTCCTTGTTCCAAGTTCTAAACAGACTTCATTTCTGTATCTTTTCATTGGCAAGAATGAGAGTGCTTGATACTGTCGCTCATGTAAACAGCATTCGGATTTTGGTTGGCTGCTTCCATTTGAGCTAGTTGTGCTTCAAAAAAAGATTAAAAATGTTTTGTCCTGAATGAGGAGCATCATGTTGCCATGCCCGAACTTGAATTAAGGACTCAATGCTTGCATGTCCAAGAAAGGAATTATTTGACAGTTGAAACACGAAAAAAATAAAATAAAAGGTCTGCTGGAATTTCTTTTGAAAGATCCTCCGAAATTTTGATATTAGTCCAGTGGTGACTAGCGTCAAGACCACAATACTATTCTTTCTTTTTAGATCAAGAAGGCAGTAATCTTACATTATGTGTCTTAAAATCCTTCAAAAATATGCAGGTTTTGTTCAGATAAGAGAAGATGACTGCTGACAGGAATACAAATTTTAAACCGTGAGAGTATGATTTCATTTGCAGAGGTTGCGAAACCAAAATCATCTCTCCTAGGGAGGAATTGGCGAATAACACTTACATTGGATCTCTTTCAATTAAACTATTGTTAGAAGTAGTAACATGTAAACAACATTTAGGACTTACGAGAGCTACAAAAGACCTAGAATATTGATTACTTGATACCGTTGAAGTTTGACGTATTAACAGGTTCTTATAAAATTAGTGTTACATCACCAGAAGATGAGTCATATTAATGCATATCATCAGAACGCTCTTATAACTTTTATGAGGAAACATTTTTTAATTACAGTTAAACTTCATCAACCTGCAGATAGCATTTCAAGTGTAATTTCCAACTTTTATAGTGCTATAGGAAACATCCCAGTGACTGTCATTTGCGAATCTTAATACACCAAGTAATATTGGTCAACTCAGCTATATTGCTTGCTTGTAAATTGTCCATTAATGTATTTCCCCTTAATTTCTTTGCTTTTCTTTCTTCTGTTTTTGTCTCCCCGTCATCAGAAAGAATAAACTAGGATAGTATATGTCTCTATTCAATCGTTTGATACGTGTCTTAACTGTCTATTTTGCAAGACATAAAGCATTATTTAAAAGGAACCGCCCTGGTTAATAAGAGTTTTCTGCTTACATTTTCTGGGAAGGGATTGTCTGACCTGATGATTATTGACATAGCAACAAGATTAGGCTAGAAAATTATATCTAATCAAGCCACCTTGCAGTTGTGCATAGTTGAATTCAAGAGGTTCATTTGCTGATCATGTATATTGATCATTGACCTTTATTACGCCGTAGTAGATTAAGTATCAAGGCAGAACAAAGAAGAAGAGACTAGAAAGTGATCTTAAGAATTCATATGGATGACACATTTTTGAAGCTCTTTTAGCGTCAAAGACAATAGAGTGAATAGAGAACAAATAGTATATGGATAAAGCTAGCTTATTATTGCTTGTGTTTTATAAGATCCTCTTCATTTTACCAGTATATTGTGCACCAAATGACTCCATAACTCCATCCCAACCACTCAAGGTAGGACAAACTCTCATCTCCACTGGACAAATCTTTGAATTAGGCTTCTTCAGTCCTGGTAACGCAAGTGAACTGTATATTGGAATCTGGTACAAGATTGATCCCGATTGTAGAATTGTTTGGGTCGCAAACAGAGGAAATGCACTCTTAGCAGATGACCTGGCTTCAAGGCTGATAATCAGCAGTGATGGGAATCTAAAGCTTATGGATGGAAAGCAAGATATTGTCTGGTCAACAAATGCTTCTGTCCAATCTAATACCACAATTGCAGTGCTTACAGATGATGGAGATTTCATCCTTAAAGATAAGATTTCAGGGGCAACTCTGTGGGAAAGCTTTTATTATCCTTCTGATACAATTTTAGCAACCATGCAGTTAGGATTGAACGGTAGAAGTGGTCAGAAAAGTTTCTTGACATCTTGGGAAAATGATAATGATCCAGCACCTGGAAAGTTTGTCGTTGGACTTTCAGACGAGAAACCACCACAAGCTTTCACATGGAATGGTACCAAACCATATTGGAGAGGAGGTCCATGGGATGGATGGAAGTTCATTGGAATTGAAGATGAGGATAAGGGGTATGCAAATGGAATAAGTCTGACAACAAATAATCAAATAGGAGCCTCATGTATGACTTTCAACAATTTCAACAAGTCCTACATCTCAATTATGGTAATTTTACCAACAGGTATGTTGGAGATACTGCACTGGGAAGGACAACAAAATCAATGGAACGTGTCTTGGGCAGCACCTCAGCATCCATGCGACGTATATGGAACTTGTGGACCCTTCAGCTCTTGTAGCAAGAGTCGCTCTCAACCTTGTGAGTGCCTCAAAGGGTTCTTCCCGTTGTCTAATGAGGAATGGAGTAAGGGAAATTGGACAAGTGGATGCGTGAGGGGTACACAACTGATGTGTGATGGAAACAGTAGCAACTTAATCTCCAAAGCATCTAAACCGGATGGCTTCTGGAAGCTCAGTCAGATGAAATTACCAGATCATTATCTGTATTTGTATGATGAGACTGACCAAGGGGGGTGTAGCCAATGGTGCCTCCGTAACTGCTCTTGTCTAGCATATGCATGTCCAGATGGTATAGGGTGTATGGTTTGGGTGACAGATCTTGTTGACATTCAGCAATTCTCAAATGATGGGGAAGATTTGTATCTCCGCCTTGCTAAAACAGAGCTAGGTAATTTAGGTCTAGTCTGGACTGTTTCTACATTATAAAGCTTGCCTGTTCTTCACAATTTGTTTAATGGAACTTTCAGGAGTAAAAAAGCGATACACAGCAACCATCATCAGTGTCTTATCTATATCGGTTGGTTCACTCTTGGGCTTGTTGATATGTTGTGTTAAGAGATGGAAAGCAAACAGAAGAGGTAAACATGTTTATCAATTACTCACAGCATGTTAGGAGCTATTCTGTTGACATGCTGACTGCATAGGATTGAAAATTCATCTAAATATATTTGAATTCCTATATTTGATCGTTTAGCAGCAATTCAGTATTGAAGATACGCTTAGCCTCCCCTATCCTGTTATCTGATTATTCCATTGCTAATCTCAAGCAAACTGATTCTACAACTCAGAAAAAGTTAGTAAGTGCTGATTTTCTATGTAATTATTGTTAAAGCTACAGCACTTAGGCATTCAGACACACATATCCATGAACAAAAGTCAGAGACAAGTAAATGGTGCGTAATGAAGGGATTCAGGATAAAGTGCATAGTAAAGGGTCTCTTTGTGTCGGAGAGAAAGGGCACTGTGAGAGATATTTCGCAAGAAGATGTCCAGGAAGGTCCTGCATCAGCAAAGTGGTCATCCGAGCTTCCAATTATAGATTTTAATAGGGTAAAGAGAGCTACCAACAACTTCAGTGAAGCTGACAAGCTTGGTGAAGGAGGATTCGGTGCAGTTTACAAGGTAATTAAACTTCTAAACAAGTATCTGCACATCGATATTAGCTTAGGCATGGATAGAACTTATGAATAATTTGTGAACCTGAATTCCAGGGGAATTTAGAAGATGGACAGCTCATAGCCGTGAAAAGGCTTTCAAGTCACTCAGGACAAGGCATGGAGGAGTTCAAGAATGAGGTTATGTTGATATCTAAACTTCAGCACAGAAATCTTGTAAGGCTGTTGGGTTGCTGCATTCAAGGAGAAGAAAAGATAGTCATTCTTGAATACATGAAAAACAAAAGCTTGGACAAATTCCTCTTTGGTAAATATTCTTCTTTAGTACTTCACTGAATTACTAACTCAAAATTTCTTTTATTTAGTTTAGGCTAGGAGTTCTCAGTAGTTTCCTGTTTGCTACGACGATCAGGACTGCGTTAGTGATATTGAACTTAGAGGTCAGCCGAGGGATCCGCATTACGTTTTACAATTATCGCTCATCAGATGGTAGTGTATATGCATAGTTATCTTATAGAACAATTGCTTGATTGGAAAATCGAATTCATCCTCAATTCACAAGGCCCTCAGTCCCGTTCTGAATAGTCTTTGGCACGTTTTATGACGTCAAACACTTCGTCAAAATTAATGTGTTTGACATTTGCACCTCCTGAAAATTCTGAAGTTTTCTTAACCCTGTCAATTGCCCCGATAATTTTCTCAAATTTCCTTCTTCCGTTATCTTGCCCTCTAGAGGAAATGAAAACATTTGCCACAATTTTATGGAATACTGAATAAATTACATAGGAATATAGACAAATCTCAGAGATGTTGAAGTTAATATTTAACAGGAAAACAGCTATTTCCATTTCGAAATAATAATAATCGACTTTACCAGATCTCTAACTGGTTTCCTAGATTCAGGTGATCCTTGTCATGACTACAAGAGTTCTTGTTTTTTCAATTATTATGATGATGTCCTTTGAGGTAACCTAACATCATGTGGAGTTACAAAAATTGAAGCTTGATTTCCGCTTGTGTAATGTGTATTAATATAGAAACATTGAATACTAGCATTAAACTGCAATCAATTTGTCATAAACAGCAAAACTTTACAATATCCTTCTACTTGTTATTGAAATTTGAACACCACACAGTGTATACTGTGCACTAACCTTTTCCTCTCATGCATTAAATTGTTTATGTGGATAATGGGCAGACCGAACAAAAAGGTTGGAGCTAGATTGGGCGAAACGGTTCAGCATAATTCAGGGCATTGCCAGAGGGCTTCTATACCTCCATCGAGATTCTTGTTTGAGAATCATTCACAGAGATTTGAAGGCCAGCAATATTCTCTTGGATGATGACATGAACCCCAAAATCTCAGACTTCGGGCTGGCACGAACTTTCCGTGTCACCCAAGAACTAGCTAACACTCTCAGAGTTGTGGGAACTTTGTAAGTGATCAACTAATCTTTTCTAAAGCATGTCTGCCCTGACTCGTGGCCAACCGAAAAGAATATAAAGATAAAACTAATATCTATTGCATGGAGAAAAATGTGCTTAATTATTGGTGAATTTTGTAAACAGTTGATACTTTCGTGTTTCAAATATGATGCAGGGGTTATATGTCTCCAGAATATGCCATGGGAGGCCTCTTTTCAGAAAAATCTGATGTTTACAGCTTCGGAGTTTTGCTGCTAGAGATTGTCAGCAGCAAGAAGAACACCGGGTTGGGATATCATGAAAAATATTTGAACCTTCTTGGCTATGTAAGTGCATAAAGTTTTTCTTATTCTCGTGTTAGTTTAATTTCAGGTAGATCAGATAAAATCTGTCTTGTCTAAGAATTAAGATAAAAAGACGAATATAGTGGGAAGCCAATCTACAATTTGGGTACTCGAATCCAATTCTAATGGGCGACTTGGAAATGATTCATTGCTCAGGCGTGGCAATTGTGGAATGAGTGTAAAGCTCCAGAATTGCTGGATCCATCACTGGCAGATTCTTGCACCCCATCAGAAGTAATGAGATGCATTCAAATTGGACTTCTTTGTGTTCAAGACCATGCTGCAGATCGGCCTACAATGTCAAATGTGGTTCTGATGCTAAGCAGTTCTGAAAGCGAAATGGAACTTCCTCAACCGAGACAGCCAACATTTACGTTTCAAAGCTTTCTAGAATCTGAGCATTTTCAATCAGGGCTTTGCACGTTCAATGTTTCCATAAATGAAGTTAGTATTTCAATGGTTGAAGGTCGATGAATGGTCTACTCGAGACACAAGACGTCTGGAACAAGTGAAATTTAGCATGTATCACATGCTATTTGTGAATAAACGTGAAAAAGGGTCAGAATTTTGTGTTAATCTGTAGTGGATTTAGCACAATATTGTTAATTGAAAAGTGGTGCTGTTTAGCAAAGTACAACAGTTTTCTTTCAATTTAGCAATGTTATCTCTTTACTTCTAATTTATACTTTGAAATATGATTGCTTTCCAAAGTTTGATACTAGAGAATATTCAAATTATATTTTTGTTCTATGGAATAGTAAGAATAAGAGGACAGAGGATTGCGTAGTTATTATACGTATTCAATATGTTCATGCAAGCTAATATATAGCTTTCTTACTTTGTTCCATTTACTTAAACTAGTTAGTTTTACAAACCAGTAAATGTCTCCGAATAAAAGCTGCAAACACAGGTCGAAACAGGGATACCCCAATCTACAAATATCATATGCACACCTTGCAAATAAAAGTAGCCAAAAGAAGCAGAGAATTCTGCTGCATCAACTCTTCTAGCAGCTGCTCTCTCTCCTCTTCTTGATGCTGCACCAAGTGAAACCCTGCAGAACATTGATGAAATTTTGTTTAACGATTCAACAACTTGAAAAGTAAGTCAATTGTGAGACGGAAAATGGAAAGCAAGGCAAGAAGATCACACGATTGCGAAACAAATAATCATGTCCAGAGGTCAACAGCAACTTCATCCTCCACGTCCAAATTAGGCTCCTTGGCATTCACAATCTTGGATACCATCAAATCATCGAATCCCATATCAATCCTCGAGTGTTGCTTCAACAGTTGTTGCTCCGACTCATCCTCGCTAACTGAATCATCTCCCATGAACTTCTTCCATAGTTTCTGATCAGCACTTTTTTTCGATTCTGCCATTGAAGTGTTTGCCTCCTGATCATCTTGGTCCATGCCACAAGCTCCATCATTTGTGGACTTTGTTGTGGTTTTAGAGCTTTGTGGTAGAATCACTCTTCTTCTCTTCATGGTCTGAAGGATTTCAAGTTCTAGTTCTTCCTCCCCACGCTGAATTATCTTCTCAACTAAGGCGGGGCTGAATATTCTGGCTAAGACCTTGATCAATGCTTTTGACTTAGCCTCCATTCTTTTCACATTTTTCTTGAAGGTGGCTATGCTACTCTCAAGTTTCCCCATATGATATTTTGATCTTGTGATGTCTTCCTTCAGTGCATTCATGTGATCCTCGAAAATTTCCAGCTCTGCATCCATTGAAGGCCTCGAAGCCGTTACGTGTTGTTCTCTCCGTCCTCGTCTTTTCCTGATTGTTGGAGCTTCATCATTTCGCCTTCTAATGTTCATTAGCAAATGTTCCTGCCCTCTCTGAAACCATTTATTCTCGTATTCATATTGCCTCAGTCCAATCTTCCTGAATCCCTGTTATGTTTAGAAAGCAAACAATCAGAAATTAGTGGGGGAGGATCCCAATTGCTATTGAATTTGAGTCTCAACGAGGAATTTACTTGACATTCAAACTGCAAACACAAAGCATGAGCAAAAGTAGCAAGCATAAGTACAAGAAAAAGGCATTTACCTGGGTTCATGAGTTGTGATAGACATAACAAATTCTTGTAGAGACTTTCTAATGATGATAAAAAAATTATCTAAAAAATACGATATCCATGCTATGAAAAAGGATTTAATCTAAAAGGTATGCAATAATCTGAAATGCATAAACTCACATAGTTGTTAAGTTGGTAGATGAAGCTTGAGAAATTGCTGTGCTTGAAATATTTTGGTAGAACCTCTGCAGCAAATTTGAGATGGTCCAGGACTATTAGGCTGGTACCTTCAGAATTCCAGGAAATCATGTTGTTTGTCTCTGTATCCTCCACCATTTGAAAGGTCTTCGTCAAGAAGGGGGGCGGAGTGAAACCACGCACTCCTTTCATGAATTCCATCTTCTCTGAGGCCTGCTTGGAGGGTAGCGAAGATGGCCTAACAATCCCACCATTTCCGGCTATGCCTCCACCACGTACTTCCATTGTGTCTTGACGAGTTGTTTTGCATTCCATGAGGTAGTAGTCAAGACTGTTTTAAGTTTAAAAATGTTCAGATGGGCTAAACAAATTGCCCCTGCATGTAGTGGCTGTTCTTAAGTAAAATTCCATCAAAAAGGTTAGTCCCCCTCTGGTGAAATCATGACTCTCAATTCACTATCTTTCAATTACCAACCTTAGCAAGAACGAGTCTAATACTGTTCTATTACTGTCTTATTCACCAAGAATATATTCCTCTTACAACTTATTTCGTAAACAAAGCACAATCTGATTTTTATCTCCATATTTGAGTGGCCTTGATTGTTCACCAATCAAAGTGGGGGGAGGACAACATCATTTTTAAAGCATGTTTCTGGTGTCCTTGTACTTCAAAATGAGTTGTTAATAGAAGCTGCATTAGTGTATTCTAGGCTTATATAGATCAGCAATCTACCTCGTCTATTTTTCTTTCCTTTCCAAGTATCATTCGAAAACAAGCGACTAGGATGTAGCTACGATTTGTGCCATAACCGGCCTTGTTCCTTAACGTGTAACTTTGATGCTGTTACAAGATTGAAGCATTTTGGAATCTGAGGGGAAACAAATTGAAGAAAAGAAAGGAGACATATGGTATGAATTTTGATCCATCTAGTCATTATTTAGTTTTAAGGATGAATTGGTTGTCTTTCTCATAATCCAAGGCATATCGATGGACAATTAAGACAAGGAGGAAGGATGATAAGCGAAACTCCTGTTATTTGTTTTGGCAAATGAGTACAACTTCTGTTAGTGTTACAGAAAAAACTGCGGAAGATTAACAACCATTTCTATATAGGAAAAGAGATAAAATCATTTATCCATTTACAGTGACTAGTAATAGTTCACGTGCTTTGCACGTGGTTATAATATCTTAAAATATATTATTCTTTGGATACTAAAAATTTTTTATGAAATTTTGATCACTAACATCTTAATATAGTATTTTTATATTATTTATTTTTTTAAACTAGTTACTTTTAAAAATTTTATTAAATGAAAAGAGACAGAAAACATTCCAATGTAGTTGACATATCCCTTAGGATTAAATTTGAAATCATGAACCAAACACTTTTTGATTTATAGCTTGAACTCTAACATATCAAATATTATCATGTTTTACCAAAATTATTGTATATTCATGATTCTATTGCATATAAACCACAATCATCACAATTTTTATAAACGAAGAATATAATTAAGTTAGGAAAATAAACATACATGTAATTTGAATTCTTTGTATTATGTCAATTCTATTGCTGTCAATAATGGAGTATAAATGATTCACCATGTAAAGTTTTTTTGGCTTATATATTCTAACAATTGAAAATTTATAGATAGAGATAGTTGGAATTTTTCTATTTTCCTTTTCTTTTATTCATGTTTTTAGCACAATACAATGCGAAACAAAAGCAACAAGTCTACTTTTTTCATATGAGCACAATATTTTTTATTTTAATATTATTTTTTTGATGATCATGGAATTGGAATGAGAATTGTGGCCAATTAATAATTTTAATATTAAGTTTTTGTATATTGCAGTGTTTTAGTTTTTAATTGCCAACTTTTAATCCATAACCGCTATCATTATTATCAATTATTGGAATGCACTAAATCTATCTAATTACAATTGTCACCATAAATGAAATTTAATTAATTTTAAAGTTTTTCATTTCATAACCGCTTCCATTATTCACTAATATTGCAATACAATAAATATATCTAATCATTAGAAAAATAAGGGTATTTTGGACATCACCAAAAACAAATTTGGATATCATTTTGAATATATCATTCTCCATTTTAAATTTACTCTTATTATAATTCTTATTTTATCGTTGGAAATAGTTTCTGACTTGACGGATGGATTTGGTTTGCTCAAACCAATACAAATGAAGCATTACCATATTATTGTAAATAACAATGTTTGTCTTCTCTTGGATATCAGTGATATGGATGTTGTCTTTGATATTATTTGAATTGTATTCTAACTTTTTAATTCATTTGCTATTTACTTTATGTCATTTTATAAATAGTTTTCAAATTTTTTCAGTTTCTCTTGTTTCGATCGGTTGCTATTAATGATAACAGTGATTCGTATGGTGCTATTTCAGATTTCTTTTTTCTAGTTTAATACTGCTATTTCAGTTATAAAGGTGTCATCATTTTTTGTATATTGAATTTCCATTGGATGTAACATGAAAAATTCTTGATATTGGTAAAAAGTACATAATTGTAAAATTTACTCACGATATTTGTATGAAGATATACAGATGAATAAGGATTTTCTTGTCCTTGTTTCTCCATTTTCTAGAGAGTATTTATTTTTTGAAATTGATTTTTTTTTAACAATCTCAACTAATGACTAATGAGAAATTTTTCATACTTCAATCAAAAAATTTTGATACGTATAATAATTTGAGATGGAGTCCAAGGGTAGGTAAATAGTTCTTAATGAGCAATTTTTAATTCTAATTACCTATACTATTAAAATGTAATCAATTGGAGTGTTTTATTTCTTTTAATTAGTGCCATATTAAAATGCAATTATTCGAATTAAAAGACACGAGGGTAATTTAGGGATAACAAAAAATAAGATAAAAAAGTGTTTACACTTGCACTCCCTAGAACCAACATTCATACTTTTTATATAGTAATGATAATGATAGTGATATCGTTGTAACGTGGTTAAACAATCCAATGGAAAAAGAAGAAGAAGAAAGAACTAGCTAATATAGAATTTCAATTAAAAAAATTTTTACTTTGAGTTATAATTATATATTTAGACTGGATAAAGAGACATTCGGAACAAAAAATTTTACATGCAATCGATAATTCTGAAAATGGCTATCAATTACACATGTATGTCCGCTGTCCGCCGCCTGACCGATAATCTTGGCCTCGGCACTGATAAGTCTATACTCCAACAAATACTTCATTTTGAATGAGCAGTGTCTGTTGTTATATCTGGAAATGAAGCAGCAAAAACAAATTTCTTTGTTGAATTTTTGTTGCAGATTTCCTCGAAAATCTGAGTTTGGAGTGATTCTTGGCAGATGATTTCATTAGAGTGCTGCTTCAGTTTTGCATTTGTAGAGGTATCTTTACACGTAAACAAGCATAGCTTTCAAAATTTTATCCTTTGATTACCAGTACATTTTTCTTGCGAACAAATAGTATCATACCATGTGTTGCATCGTAATTTTTACTACCAAATATCAGAACAGGCCAAGCGCTATATGGTATAGTAAATAAGGTGCAGGGTTGGGGATTGATCCTTACTAGTTAATCTGTAGCAAAATATGTTTCATTGGTGACAGGTGCTGTTCAGCAGAAGTGTAATTTTTTCCCCCTACTGGTCTTGTACTTTGGATAGAGTCATAGAGAATGTTCATGCAATAAGTCCTCATCCTAAGTTCTAAACAGACTTCATTTCCGTATCTTTCCATCGGCGCGAATGAGGGCGCATGTCGGATTGATAGTATTGCTTCTACTAACACGATTCCGATTTCGTTGGCTACTTCATTTTGAGCTAGTTTCTGCTTCGAGGAGGCAAAAAAAAAAAAAAAAAGTTTCATCCTGAATGAGGAGCATCATGTTGCCATGCCTGAACTTGAATAAAGGACCTCAATGCTTGCATGTCCAAGGAAGGAAATATTTGACAGTTGAAACACGGGAAAAATACACTTTTCATCTCTAAACTTTGAATTAAGAATACATTTCGTCCTCAAACTTTTAGACACAATACATTTAGGACATGAATTAATAAATTTTGATCACATTTAGTCCAAAAAGGATAAATTGTTCAATTTGGACGGAGAAGATTCAGTTGTCTAACATGTGGCTGCTAAGTAAAAATAATTTCGTAGTCAAAATCAACGGTCACGTGCCAAACACGCGAGTCTTCTCCGTTCAAATTGAACAATTTACTATTTTTGGACTAAATGTTGCCAGAAATTATTTATTCATATACTAAATGTGTTACGCCTAAAAGTTTGGGAATGAAATGTATTTCTAGTCCAAAGTTTAAGGATGAAAAATGGATTTTTTCCGTTGAAACACAACCAAAAAATAAAAAGAAAAAAAAGAAAGAAAGAAAGTAAGTAAAAGTCTTTGCTGGAACTTCTTTTGAAAGATCCTCTAAAATTATGATATTAGTCCGGTGGTGGTGACTCGTATCAAGGCCACAATACTATTATTCTTTCTTTTTAGATCAAGGGGGCAGTAATCTTACAGTATGTAACTTAAAATCCTTCAAAAATCAGGCTTTGTTCAGATAAGAGAAGACGATTGCTGAGGGGAAGGAAAATATTAAACTGTGAGAGCATCATTTTATTTGAAGTGGTTGTGAAACCAAATCATCTGTCCTAGAGGGCAATTGGCAAATAACACTCAGGTTGATCTTTTTGATTTAAACTGCAGTTAAAAGTAGTAATGCGTGGGCAACATTTAGGGATTACGACAGCTGCAAAAGACCTACACCATTGATTACTTGGTAGTTTGATACCTTAAAGTTCGACAAATTAACTAAGAGTATCTTGTGAAATTAGTGTTACATAACCACAAGAACCATCGCAGTCATATTAATGCATATTATAAGAACGTTCTTTTGATTAGTATAATTTTTACAAGGAAACACTTTTTATTCACACTTAAACTTCATCAAGTTGAAGATAGCATTTCAAGTGTAATTTCCCAAGTCCAACTTTAACAGTGCTATAGGAAACATCCCAGTGACTGTCATTTGCGAACCTCAATACACCAACTAATATTGGTCAACTCAGGTATGTTACTTGTAAATTGTCCATTGATGTATTTACCCTTAATTTCTTTGCTTTTCTTTCTTCCATTTTTCTGTCCCTATCATCAGAAAGAATAAACTATGATATGATAAGCTTCTATTCAACCATTTGATACGTGTCCGAACTGTCTGTTTTGGTTGGCACATAAAAGCACTATTTAAAAGGAACCGCCAAGGTTAACATGGCGTATCTGCTTACATTTTCAGGGAAGGATGGTCTGATCTGATGACTGTTGACATAACAAGAAGATTAGGCCAGAAAATGATATTCAATCAACCCACTTTGCAGATGTGCATAGTTGAATTGAAGAGGTTCATTTATTTATCAAGTATATTGACCATTGACTTTTATTTGTTTACGTGGTAGTAAAAAAAGGCCAAGCAGGACAAAGACGAAGAGCCTGGGAAGTGACCTTAAGAATTCATTTGGAGGACACATTTTTTATGCTCTTTTAGCATCAAAGACAGTACAGGGAATAGAGAGCATATAGTATATGGATAAAGCTAGCTTATTGTTGCTTGTGTTTTATAACATCCTCTTCATTTCACCGGTATGTTGTGCATCAAATGACACCATAACTCCATCCCAACCACTCAAAGTGGGACAAACTCTAATCTCAGCTAGGCAAATCTTTGAATTAGGTTTCTTCAGTCCTGGTAATGCAAGTGAATTGTATGTTGGAATCTGGTACAAGTTTGATCCTGGTCGTAGAATTGTTTGGGTTGCAAACAGAGAAAATGCACTCTTGGCGAGTGACCTGGCTTCAAGGCTGATAATCAGCAGCGACGGGAATCTAAAGCTTCTAGATGGGAAGCAAAATACTATCTGGTCAACTAATGCTTCCCTCCACTCTAATAGCACAATTGCAGTGCTTAGAGATGACGGCGATTTCATCCTTAAAGATAATGTTTCAGCAACTCTATGGAAAAGCTTTTATTACCCTTCTGATACAGTTTTACCAAACATGAACGGAATGAAAAACGTCTCAACGTCCTGGGAAAATGAGAATGATCCAGCGCCTGGGAACTTTTTTACTATACTTTCAGATGAAAAACCACCACAATCTTTCACATGTAATGGTACCAAACCATACTGGAGAGCAGGGCCATGGAACGGATGGCAGTTCATTGGAATTCCAGATGCGACTAAGGGGTATGCAAATGGAATGAGTCTGATAACAGATAATCAAACGGGAGCTGCATATATGACTTTCAGCACTTTCAACGAGTCCTATATTTACATTATGGTAATTTTATCAACAGGTATGTTGGAACTACTGCAATGGGAAGGTCAACAAAATCAATGGAACCCGATTTGGGCAGCACCTCAAAATCCATGCGATGTATATGGAACTTGTGGACCCTTCACTGCTTGTAGCATGAGTGGATCTCCAATTTGTGAGTGCTTGAAAGGGTTCTTTCCGCACTCTAATGAGGAATGGAGTAAGGGAAATTGGACAAGTGGATGTTTGCGGCGTACAGAGTTGATGTGCACTAAGAACAGTAGCAACTTAACATCTAAAGCATCTAAACCGGATGGCTTCTGGAAGCTCAGTCAGATGAAATTACCAGATCATTATCTGTATTTGTATGACGTGATTGACCAAGGGGGGTGTAGCCAATGGTGCCTGAGTAACTGCTCTTGCCTAGCATATGCATGTCCAGGTGGCATAGGGTGTATGGTTTGGGTGACAGATCTTGTTGACATTCAGCAATTCTCAGACGGTGGGGAAGATCTATATCTCCGCCTTGCTAATTCAGAGCTAGGTAATCTAGGTCTAGTCTGGACTGTTTCTGCATTATAAAGCTTGCGTGTTCTTCACAATTTGTTTATTGTAATTTTCAGGAGGAAAAAAGCGATACACAGCAACCATCATCAGCGTCCTATCTATATCGGTTGGTTCACTCTTGGGCTTGTTGATATGTTGCATTAAGAGATGGAAAGCAAACAGAAGAGGTAAACATGTTTATCACTGACTGCATAGGACTCAAAATGCGTCTAAACATACTTAAAGTTGTATATTTGATCATTTAGCAGCCATTCAGTATTCAAGATACCCTTACCCTCCCCTTCCATGGAATCTGAGTATTCCATTGCTAATCTCAAGCAAAAGTTAACAAGTGCTGATTTTCCATGTAATTATTGTTAACGTTACAGCACTTAGGCATTCAGACACACATATCCGTGAACAAAAGCCAGAGACAAGTAAATGGTGCATAATGAAGGGCTTCAGGATAAAGTGCATAGTAAAGGGTCTCTTTGTGTCGGAGAGAAGGGGCTCTGTGAGAGATATTTCGCAAGAAGATGTCCAGGAAGGTCCTGCATCAGCAAAGGGATCATCCGAGCTTCCAATTATTGATTTCAATAGGGTAAAGAGAGCTACCAACAACTTCAGTGAAGCTAACAAGCTTGGTGAAGGAGGATTCGGTGCAGTTTATAAGGTAATTAAACTTCTAAACAAGTACCTGCACATTGATATTAGCTTAGGCATGGATAGAACTGATGGATAAATTGTGAACCTGAATTCCAGGGGAAATTAGAAGATGGACAGCTAATAGCCGTGAAAAGGCTTTCAAGTCACTCAGGACAAGGCATGGAGGAGTGCAAGAATGAGGTTATGTTGATATCTAAACTTCAGCACAGAAATCTTGTAAGGCTGTTGGGTTGCTGCATTCAAGGAGAAGAAAAGATAGTCATTCTTGAATACATGAAAAACAAAAGCTTGGACAAATTCCTCTTTGGTAAATATTCTTCTTTAGTACTTCACTGAATTACTAACTCAAATTTTCTTTTAATTAGTTTAGGGTAGTGAGTTCTCAGTAGTTTCCTGTGTATTGTTTGCTACGACGATCAGGACTTTGCTAGATGCATTCCATCAGAGTGATCTGCTTTATGGTTCATAATTATCTCTCATCAGATAGTAGTGTATATGTATAAATATCTTGTAGAACAACTGCTTAATTGGAAAATTGAATCCATCCTTTACTTGCAAGTCCTCAATCCCGTTATGAATAGTCTTTGGTACGTTTTGTGACATCAAACACTTCGTCAATCCTGAAGAGCAACGATGGGTAAATGTCACACCTCAACTTTCAACAACTAGTATTTTAGGGTGGCAAAATTAATGTATTTGACATTTGCACCCCTGAAAATTCTAAATTTTTCTTTACCCTTTCAATTGCCCCAATAATTTTCTCAAATTTCCTTCTTCCGTTATCTTGGTCTATTACCACAGGAAAATAGACAAATTTCAGAGATTTTGAAGTTAAAATTTTACAGGAAAACAGCTTTTCCCATGTCCAAATAATAATAATCTACATTACCTGCTCTCTAACTGGTTTCCTAGATTCATGTGATCTTTTTCATGACTAGAAGAATTCCTGTTTTTTCAATTATTGTGATGATGTCCTTTCAGGTAACCTGACACCATGTGGGGTTTACAAAGATGGAAGCTTGATTTCTGCTTATGTAATGTATATTAATCTAGAACCATTGAATACCAGCTTTAAACTGCAACCAAATTGTCAAAAACAGCAACAATTTACAATATCCTTCTACTTATTATTGAAATTGGACACCACACAGTGTATACTGTGCACTAACCTTTTCCTCTTGTGCACTAAATTGTTTATGTGGATAACGGGCAGACCGAACAAAAAAGTTGAAGCTAGATTGGGTGACACGGTTCAACATACTTCAGGGCATTGCCAGAGGGCTTCTATACCTCCATCGAGATTCTTGTTTGAGAATCATTCACAGAGATTTGAAGGCCAGCAACATTCTCTTGGATGATGACATGAACCCCAAAATCTCCGACTTTGGGCTGGCACGAACATTCCGAGTCACCCAAGAACTAGCTAACACTCTCAGAGTTGTAGGAACTTTGTAAGTGATCAACTGATCTTTTCTAAAGCATGTCTGCCCTGACTCGTGGCCAACCGAAAAGAATATAAAGATAAAGCTAATATCTATTGCATGGAGAAATATGTGCTTAATTATAGGTGAATTTTGTAAACAGTTAATACGTTTGTGTTTCAAATATGATGCAGCGGTTATATGTCTCCAGAATATGCCATGGGAGGCCTCTTTTCAGAAAAATCTGATGTTTATAGCTTCGGAGTTTTGCTGCTAGAGATTATCAGCAGCAAGAAGAACACTGGTTTTGGATATCATGAAAAATATTTGAACCTTCTTGGCTATGTAAGTGGATAAAGCTTTTCTTATTCTCGTGTTAGTTTAATTTCAGGTAGATCAGATAAAATCTGTCTTGTCTAAGAATTAAGATAAAAAGATGAATACTGTGGGAAGCCAAACTATAATTTGGGTACTCGAATCCAATTCTAATCGGCAACTTGCAAATGATTCATTGCTCAGGCGTGGCAATTGTGGAATGAGTGTAAAGCTCCAGAATTGCTGGATCCATCACTGGCGGATTCTTGCACCCCAGCAGAAGTAATGAGATGCATTCAAATTGGACTTCTTTGTGTTCAAGACCATGCTGCAGATCGGCCTACAATGTCAAATGTGGTTCTGATGCTAAGCAGTTCTGAGAGTGAAATGGAACTTCCTCAACCAAGACAACCAACATTTACGTTTCAAAGCTTGCTAGAATCTGAGCATTTTCAATCAGGGGTTTGCACGTTCAATGTTTCCACAAATCAAGTTAGTATTTCAATGGTTGAAGGTCGATGAATAGTCTACTCGAGACACAAGACGTCTGGAACAAGTGAAATTTAGCATGTATCATATGCTATTTGTGAATAAACGTGAAAAAGGTTCAGAATTTAGATAAAAATCCTTAGTTAGTCAGTCTGTAATAGATTTAGCACAATTTTTTTGTGTGTGTGTGTTAATCTGTAGCGGATTTAGCACAATATTGTTCATTGAAAAGTGGTGCTGTTTAGCAAAGTACAACATTTTTCTACCAGTCCTGTCGTTGTAGGTCGGATAGAGAATGCTTATTCATCAAGTCCAGGGAGTAGCAGTGCAGCCGGCCCCAAGTTTTGAAATTTCCTTTTTGCCCCAAAAAAGTTGTTATTACAAATTTTCATTGAGAGTCTTTCCCTTGAAAAAAAAAAAGATTGACAAAATTCTTTCCCCTCTTCCTAGCTTTTGCTTGTGAAAATTTTGAACTTTTTCCTCTCTTTTAATAATTTTTAACATTGAGTTATAATTACTTGACCACTTCTTGTTAACTTCTTTAGTATTGTATATTGTCTTGTTACAGTTTTATCTATTGTGTTAAGAAAAATCTCTTAATAGCTAAATCCTGCACATTTTCAATTACCTGTTTTATTTTAATTTCTATTATTAATCTACCAAAATTCAAATTTAAATACTTGGTTTTACATATATGTGATCTTTTATATGTAAGCAAAAAAACTAATAAAATTGTACAGTAAAGAAATGCTCCTAATCATACAAAACCAACATGTATAGCTAATTAGCGATGTTATTTTTTCACTTCCAATTGTACTTTGAGATATGATTGCTCTTTTTTTTTAAGGTCGATACGATAGTTTCCTATACTATGGAGATATGATTGCTCTATAATGAGATATTTGGATTGGATAAAGTGACATCCGGAACAAAAAAAAAAATTTGTACATGCAATCCATAATTCTCAAAAATGCACTCAAAAACACATGTATGCCTGCCGCCTGACAGATAATCCTGGCTTCGGCACTGGTAATTCCATACTCTAACACATACTTCAATTTGAATGAGCAGTATCTGCTGTCATATCTGGAAATGAAGCAGCAGAAACAAATTTCGTTGTTGATGAAATCCCTGAAACTTTTGAGTTTAGAGTGATTCTTGGCAGATGATTTTCATCCGAGTTCTGCTTCAGCTTTGCATTTGTAGAGGTATCTTTACACGGAAACAAGTGTAGTTTTCAAAACCTATCCTATCATTACCAGTAGAATTTTTCTTTTGAACAAGAACGAATAGTCTCATATCATGTGCTGCATGGTAATTGGTACTATTGAATATCGGAATAGGCCATCCACTTATTTGTAACGAATTCCGCAGCCTCTGCGTAACTAATTTAGGATTCAAGCTCATAGGAGTGTTTCCTTTAGAAAATGAAAGTTTTTATTGGCTAGTGATTCAATATGACTTGGATTCCTTAGATAAGAATGAGAATGCTTGACATGATTGTTTCTGTTAAGAGCATTTGAAGCTAGTTCTGCTGGAAGCGGCATAACCATTTCGCAGCTAGGTTGTACTTCCAAAAAATATTCATGTTTCATCCTGAATGAGCAACATCGTGTTGCTATATCTGAACTCGAATCAAGACCTCCATGCTTGCATCTCCAAGAAAGAAACTAGTTGGCTATTGGAAGTCTGGATCCCATTTTCTGGCGTGTGGAGATCAATAGAAATGACGGTACTCTTGCACAAAGTTCTTTTGATTATAATTTATAATGGGAACGCTTCTAATTTACAATCAGTCTTCATCAAGCAAGAGATTACGTTTCAAGCGTACCCTTCCAGCAGTCGACTTTAATTAAGAATGCTCAAGGAAACATCCCTGTGACTATCATTTGCAAAATTTAAAACACCAAAATAATGATGGTTCTCAACTGAGGTACATGGCTACTGAATTGTCCAGTAATGACCATCAGACGCCAAAAATAAATAAATGGGCTACGTCAGGTCTCCTTTTAACAAGTTGATACCACAATCTAGCTTTATCTACACGTCTACAAACTATTTATCTTGCTTGACACAAAGCATCATTTTAACGGAACCACCTAAGTGAATAAGAAGAGATCTCTGCTAGAATTTTCTGGGGAGGGATTGAGTGATCTCAAGATTATTGACATTAAAAACAGGATTAGGCTGGAAATTGATAATCAGTTAAGCCAGCATGCATGCGCATAGTTGAATAAAAGAGTCAAGTTTATTCATGTATATCGACCGTTGACCTTTCTTATTTATGATGTTGTAGATAAAAGGTCTATAGGCAGAAGAAGAAGGAAAAGAGACCTGAATCCGTTTGGTGGACAAATTCTTGAAGGTCTCTTGGCCTCAGAGAAATTTCTAAAAATATGATGAAATTTAAAAAAATTCTACAAAGGGGGCGTTTTGTGTATGGTTTTCTATCTTGGGGGTCTTCGCATTTGGCAAATGCGAGCTCAAGGAGCTCGCATTTGCTAAATGCGAAGTTGAGATGAATTTTGAGACCACCGAAATTAAAAAAAAAAAAAAAAGAAGCGTACCTCGCATTTAGCAAATGCGAGGTCATGTATACCTCGCATTACGAATGCGAGGTTAGCAACCACCTAGAAGCTCATTCCCTTCATTCTTTTTGACGTTTGATTAATACGTATTTGGACTTCTTAACTTTAGTAAATATTTAAAAGTCACTACCACTAAATATGTCACAGTTATGATTTCTTGGCTGTAAAGTTGTGTGAATTTCATTTCACTCGACAACAGTAAGACTAACAATAATCCTTTTTTGCATTTAAAATAGCGATTGGTGGATTCAAAAAATTCATGAGTTTTGTAGCTTATTTGGAATTAGTCGGAAAAGGGAGAAAATGTTTGGAAAATTGCAGTTGGTGTAATTAGTGCAGAATTGTGATGATCCGAGCTCGTATCCTATAAAACCCAGAAGGATCCGACCGCGGATCGTTTGAAGCGGAAAAAATTAAAACAGGAGATCCGAGCCCGGATCATTCAAGTTCCAGTTTGATCCGAGACCTCGGATAAACTTCAGCACTTGTGGATCCGAGCCATGTAGGATCCGAGGACTACAAGAACAAATACGACCTCGGATCGGTTCGCGGATAAAGCAGAAACGAGGGTTCGTTTCTGCACTTTTCAAATATTTCTTCCCTCTTCTCACCGAAACCCTACCCCCTTTTCTCCAATCTTCTATTTAATCTATCAAATCTCCAATCCTTCACCATAAACACCTCCCTAACCCTTGTATGATCATAAACCGTAAGCTATTTCACCACAAAACATCATCAAAAGTGGATTTTGATATTCAAAAGGCAATTTTGGGCCGCACGGAATTTGTTTTATTTGTGGGTAAAATTGGACTTGTTTCTCCCTCATTTTTCATCATTATCATCCTCCAGCATCCTCCTTTACATTTGAGGTAACAATTTGCAATTTCTTTTGAGATTTTATAATTCCTATTTTTGCATAATTTTTTAAGTTTTTGAGTAATTGTGATAAAAGCTTATTTGTTGAAATTTCTTGATACAATTGTGTTACATTGTGATAATATATACATTTAGTTATGGTTGTTTACTTAGATTTGAGAAATTTGTTAATATGGTGAGAAATTTTATAATTTTTGTCATGAAAGCACACTAGACTTTTGTTTGCAATTTCTTGTTTTGGTGTATAATTTGCATTTGTTTGCTTGAAATAAGTGCATCTTTATGCAAATTGATGATAAATTGTGGTAAGTATAGTGGGTAGTTATGTATTGGTTTGAAGGAAAGTGCCAAAAGTTGAGAATTGTTTGAATTGAAGATGTTTTTCGTAAGGCATATTTTGACGCTGCGATGAATTGATGGTTGAAGCTTAATGTTATAGCATAGTGTCATTGATAGTCTACTTTACTTTCAAATTTTATTCCAATCTTACAAATGGTTTTAATTGTCAAAGTATTGGAAGTATTTAGCGTATCATGACAACCTTGTTGGTAATATTCATTCTCAATGTGAGAATTGTATTTGTGAGGTCTTAAGTAGATTTTTTGCTTGAATTTTTGGTAAATGTTGGCAGGTAGTTTAGCCCTTTTTCAAGGGGAAACTCTGCCGAAATTTTTTTAAATTCTTATTTAATACGTGCGAGCAAGTTTCTACGATTTCTAATGAAGGTTCATCTTGCTTTTGGTATAGGTATTATGGCTCGCACAAGAAGGTCTAGAGCACCGACACCTCCATCTTCGTCGACAGAGGAACACACACCTTCCTTAAATGAGGAGTCACCTGAAGAGGAATCTCCGTCACCAGAGCCGCCACCTCGCTCTCGCCGGAAGACCGCGTCTACTAGCCGTGACGAGCCACCTTCGGACTACGATACCAGTCGATTCACCTCGCTTGAAAACCAACAATGGTATGAATTCGGCTTAGACAAGGAGATTATCATCGAGAAGCACTTGGCACCGGAAGTGGATGCACACTACCACATCTCCACAGCATTCAAGCGCCTTGGTTGGGAGAACATCTTACAACTTCCCAAGCATTACTACCCAACCTTGGTCCGGGAGTTCTATGCCAATGTGGAAAACAAAGAAAGCTACAGTGGCAATCTCATCGTCTCGTGGGTTCGAGGCAAGAGAGTGGCTCTTACTCGGGAAACACTGGGACGCTTCGTCAAACTCAAAGACGAAGGACAAGATATAAAATTGACGAAGGAGTTCAAGGCGCGAGACCCTTGGCAGGTGGGAGAGGCGGTTGGACGCCTCAAGGGCCAGTATAGAGAGAGAGGAACTGCGAAGAAGCTTACAGTTTACGCCGATTCATTCGAGCATAGGTACCACCTAATCTTCTACCTGTTTGCCTTCAATGTGGTACCAAAAAAAAGTGGAAAACGGGAGCTCCGCAATAGTGATCTCTACTTTTTGGACAAGATGATGCATGGTGTGGGTGCGCAGCTGACCGGCATTCCTCTACCCAGCATTATCATCAGTTATATGCGGACTACAGCTCGCATGAGGG